ATGGAATGTATGTGATCCCTTGTTTTTTTCATAGTATTCGTGATAATTTCCAGCATAGGATCGTTGGCTTGGCACATTCACAAACGTTTCATTGGCATCGATGCCATCTTGCTATGTTATATCTCTCTCCTAAGTATGACACATCTCACAGACGGTGCTGACTACGATGTCGGCAAAACAACTAGAAATATATCAAATTAACGATCCGATACATAAAATTATTATATATACTATTTCAAAGGATGCAGGACTAGATGAATTTCAAAATATCTACTTGTCGTTCCGGCCAAGTTGCGAAAGAGAGGTCAAGTCAACATTACACAACTAAAGGAGACTGCGACCAAGCCTAAGACAATTTTATTGATGTAAATAAATCTTGCAGTTTTAACCCATCCATATAAATAGATGTACACAGGGACTCAAAATGCATCATAATGACTTAGATATCTAACAAAATGCTACCAAAAAGTATAGAGAGCAAAATATCTGTAGACACTATAAATAGGGTTATATTTATGCAACACCAGTGAGTGATAGAACAGGTGATAATAAACATACTAGCAAAGCGAAATAATGATCTAATTTAAACTATATTTATTTCGATATTTTTCCCTCATGGATAAATACTATCCAAACAAAAAACGAATATATAAAGCATAACTTGTGCTAAAGTAATGACAGCAATGATTAACAACCATCCAAATGCTATTTTAAAAGTGGCGACCAAGGTTATTAAATAAATGTAAAGGTGCAATTGCTAATATTGACATTTTTATCGAATAGTCTTAAGCAATAAGAAGAACATCGATATGAAAATCAAGTGCAGTGAGAATGGAAAACAAAATAAATCGGCCAATAAATCCAGATACTATAATGCAAATATTCAATATTGATGTGAAAACTGTTATTTAGCCCAAAGTAAAGCTATAGATATTCGCAGGTTTATCTCACCAGCTGATTCTTACTGGAATAATAAACAATTAACATATCCAAGTCTTACGCGGGTGCTTTCACAATCAAAATAATTTTGGCTCGCCCTTTTAACTTTTAGTAGCCCAAAATAATAAGAGACCCTAATTCCAGCGAAGCTCATTGCTTAAAGCATGGATCACGATGAAATTAAAAATAAATTTCACATATAGGATCAGAGATATGTCAATACGTGCTTAAAAACTATTAAGATGATCCAATAGATCTACATTTAGATGGAGAACAAAGCAATTATACATCAGTTTCAGACCAACAATTTCGTAGCATTCACTCAAGATAATCCTAAGGTAT